CTCCTCTGTCCATGGGATTCTCCAGGCAAGAATACTGGAGTAGGTTGCCATGCCCTTTTCCAGGAGACCTTACTGATGAAGGAATTTAACCGCAGCTCCTGGGTCTCCTGCATCACAGGCAGATTCTTTGCCCACTGAGCCACCTGAGAAGCCCCTCTAATAAGAGGGAGCTGATCAAATCAGAGGTTGGGGAAAACCTACTTGAAGAAGGGAATTTAGGAAATACTGAGTTGAGATCTAAAGAATAAGAAGATATTTATTAGGCGACAAGGAGCGAGTTGAGCAAAGTGGTGTAGGCAGAGGCAGAAGGAAGAGTGCCGAATGAGTGCAGGCTCTGCGATAGGAGAGATTCTGAGGAAGATCAAGTGGCTCTTGCCTCTGGAGCAGGAGCACTGCACGAACTGACTTTGGAGAGGCAGTGAGGAGCCAGACCTCAGAAGGTTTAAAGGCTTTGCTTTTTTTTTTTTTTATTCCAAGAGCAATGGCAAGCCACCAGGGTTCTCAGCAGAGGAGGTTATGTGATCAAAGTGTTACTTCTAACAGAGGGCAACCAGAAGGGGTGAATGAACAAGAGGTGTTTCGTATGCAGGCAAGACTTACCAGACTTACTTACTAAATTAAATCTATCTCTAAACAACATCAACAACAACATATGTTAAAGCTCAAAAGAAAAAAAAAAAGCTTTCCAACAATTAATCAAAAACAGTATGATGGACAAACTAGCACTGAATGTATGCAAGTAAAGACTAGATAATCATGGATAGACTTTCTTCCCAATGTATCAACTCTTGAACTCCCTGAACCCTATAACAGGAAACTACTATTCTGCAAGAAAAAAATTCCTGATGCTTCCTATCCATTTAGGGCATAGCCTTACCTCTTGTTCACTTTTAAGTAGCCCCTGGTTTCCTTCTGCTAAGGGGCTGGAGGCTGGCTCTTGTTTTCTCTCAAAAGCCTACGTTGAAGAAAGATCTGAGTCTTTCTGACCCACTTCTGACCTCCTGATGAACTTGCCCACAGTCTTCGATTGGTATGCTAGCTCTTCTAATTGCTCGGATATCTTCTTTTTTGTTGTTGTTCAGTCTCTCAGTCATGTCCGACTCTTCTGGACCCCATGGACTGCAGCACTCCAGGCCTGCCTGTCTTTCACTGTCTCCTGGAGTTTGCCCAAGTTCACGTCCACTGCATCAGTGAGGTCATCTGACCATCTTATCCTCTGATGCCCTCTTCTCCTTCTGCCCTCCATCTTTCCCAGAATCAGGGGCTTTTCCAATAACTCAGCTGTTCACATCAGGTGACCAAAATACTGGAGCTTTAGCATCAGTGCTTTCAATTCTCCAACACTCTGCCTTCTTTACAGTCCAGCTCTCAAAACTATACGTGACCACTGTCTAGGTATGTCATAGTTTTCCTTCAAAGAAGCAATCATCTTCTAATTTCATGGCTGCAGTAACCATCAGAATTGTAGCATCGTATGAAGGAAACAACAGATACAGAGTTATCGATGAGAAAGTCAATCATGCTGTTAATGGAGCTAAAAAGCCATTGGCTGTGGAGGTGGAAGAAGAAAACAGAACTGAGAGGGAGAAGAAAGGAAGAAGGGAGGAAGAGGGAGACGAGAGTGAGTCATTCTAGGAGATGAGCATATTGAGTACTGAGATGAATTATCCAGTTGATTGAAAAGAAACTGGACTGAATTTCTGCTAGGTCTAAATTCTCTGGTTTCTTTAAACCTGTTCTAACCTATAGGCCATTTCCTCTTACTGGTTTCATAAAATTAGTATGGTTAGATAGATGTTGGCCAAGCTTCAGTAATTCTACCATGATGATTTTTGTCAATATCTATCTTCCTTTACTATCAGTTTTATTTAATGTTATAAATTAAACTTCTTTTAAATTGACCCTTAATTTTTTTTTTCTAAAAAGCAGTCAACTTGGACTCATCTATTTAATATGATATATATGTTGTGTGTGTGTGTTAGTTGCTCAGAGGTATCCGACTCTTGCTGACCCCATGGACAGTAGCCCGCTAGACTCCTCTGTCCATGGAATTCTCTAGGCAAGAATACTGGAGTGGGTTGCCATTCCTTTCTCAAAGGGATCTTCCTGACCCAGGGGTCAAACCCAGGTCTCCTGCATTGCAGGCAGATTCTTTACCATCTGAGCCACCAGGGAAACCCTATATATGTTATACATGTAAATATATAGTAAACATTTTAAAAATTCACATTTCAACTTATCCTCATTTGATAAACAAAAATGTAGTATCTAGAGTCACTTGGGGAACCTTTACAATTAGGCATGCCACACTGTTAAATCCCTGATTGGACACAAGATCATAGAGCCTGCATAGAGTCTGAAATAGAATCAACCTTCCTCAAACTCATTTCCCTTTCCATTGGTCCATAATGATACACTTCAGGAGTGTAACTCCTTAGTGCGTAAATATATGCAACTCTTTGGAAGATTCTGGCAGACCAAAATTACTCCTAAAGGCTGGTTATATTAAGATTGGATTGCCAGGGAGGAGTCATTAGTTAAATGATTTTCCTCTACTGTCCTATTTGTTTCTGTTTTCACACTTCCACTCTGTTTAAAATGGTTTTATAGCACTGTTTTGACTGAAAGTAAGTAATTATTTAACACTCTGAACTTTGGTTGTGGTCTTTTTTCAAACACTTATTTTCGTAACTATGGAGGAGATAGTCTCCTAGCCAGAGATCTGTGGCTGCTTGGAATAAAGCACTTGATGAAGGATGCATAGTGAAATAAATCCACATTTCCACTCCATGTTCTCCTGGAACTTGTTTGCTATTAAGTGTGGTGTGTGTTGAGTCACAGCTGACACTTTGTGACCCCCATGGACTGTAGCCCACCAGGCTTCTCTGTCAACGAGATTTTCCCAGCAAGAGTGGGTTGCCATTTTCTCCTCCAAGGGAAATTCCCAAACCAAGGATCGAACTCGTGTCTCCTGAGTCTCCTGCACTGTGGGCATTTTTTTTTTTTTTTTACTGATGAGCCGCCAGGGAAGCTCACATTGAGTGTGGCAGATAGAATAATGCCTGCACCTGCTGCTCCCAAACCCCTACCAAGATATCAATGTTCTAAGCTCTGGAACCTGTGAATATGCTATGCTAAATGGCAAAGGGGAATTAAGATTGCAGATGGAATTAATGATGCTAATCAGATGATTTAGGGGGCATACCCTGGATTATTCAGGTGAGCCCAATGTAATCACAAGGTCCTTCAAAGCAGAAGGAGGAGGCAGAAGGGAGGGTCTGAGTGGGTGATATGAAGACTCAACTCACCATAACTGATTTTGAAGAGGAAGATGTCTGTGAGCCAAAAATTCTGGATAATTTCTACAACCCTGGACAAGCAAGAAAAGGAATTCTCCCCTAGAGCTTCTATAAGGAACATAGCCCTGTTAACATTTAGCCCCAAGAGATCCATTTTGGACTTCTGACCTCCAAACTGTAAGATAATAAATACGTGCTGTTTAACATGAATAAGTTTTGGTTATTTGTTATAGCAGTGATGGAAAACTAATACTTCAAATTTTACCTAGTTTCTTGTTTTTCACGATTATAGGTTTGGCATATTCATTTATTTTAAAAGGCTCACTGAATTAATTTGGAATCCTACTCATTAATCACTGAATTAATTTGGAATCCTACTCATTAAAATACCTAATTTCTAAATTTACATAATATTCTTTCTTATAGATTATTGACATTAATCTCTAGTACATATTTTCTTCAAAGAATTAATAAAATGCTTTTTAGTGGTCTGAAATTATAAGAACAAATATAATGGGGCTTTAGAGAGTCAATAATTGTTTTAAGTATTTTTAAAAGCTGTATAGCCAGGACTCTGGATTCAAGTTAAGTTCTGCCATTTACTAGGTGTGATTTGGGAAAGTTGACATAAGACTGTTTCACCAACTATAAAATGGAAATAAAAATGACAAGACCTGTATAATAGATTTGTGGTGAGGATCTAAGTGAGATAATCGCTATAAAGTACTAGCACTTTACAGGCACAACGCCTGGCATGTAATTAAGTGCATCATACAGTGGTTTTAGCTATTATTTTTGTTGCACTATCTGACTCCAAAACCTTCTCCAACAACAGAAAGTACAGGTTTCAAAACTGCCTGGTTCTATGGCCTGCCTGTTACCTACTGCTTCTCTTTCCATCTAAATTTCTAAAGCAGCAGCCGTAAATCACTCTGGAAACAGCATCTCCCTTAGCAACATTCAACTCTGAATCAACAATCATTTCGATGATTAAATATCCATTCACTAATTATTAAAAAAAAATTGGAGTGGGACAATGGCCTAACTATATAGATCCTAATTAAGCTTTTTTTCCCTAAAGCAGGACAAGGTGAATTCTTCGCTAGGCCCCCAGTGACCCCTCCCGCCCCGCCTCTGCAGTAAAGAGGGAACTGCCAGCCCTCGCCCAAGCTCAAGGTTTCTCGTGAGCACCCCCCGGCCGTGCCAGGCTAGGAAGCAGATCAGAGACTCTCCGCGCCCGGCGCGAGTGGCGGCTGCAGCGTGTTCACCTTCGTCCTAGGCGCCCCGGCGCCACAGTGGTCTCCCAGCCTTGCGCGCACCGGCCCCCCAGCGCCGGAATGCGCTTCGCTTGATCTGTCCAACTTCTGGTGCTCCAGCCGCCCTCCAGGGTCTGCCCTCCTGCTCCCCTGCCCCAGCCCGGGCTTGCTTCCCCGGGGCTCCGGAAGGGAAGGAGGCGTGTCCGGAGTAGGCGGGCGGGAGCCGTATAAAAGTGCTGGCGGCGCGCCGGCCAGGGCTTCGCTCACCGCCTCGCGCCGGGACGGGGATCGCCGCGCCAACACGGGCAGTGGAGAGGGCGTTGCGCTCGGGCTCAATGCGTGGACTATCTGCAGCCGCTGCCCATGCAGTATGCCGGAGCTCCAGAACAGCTAAACGGAGTTGCCACACCGCTGCTTGGGCTGGATCACAGCGCTGCCTTTCCTTATGAAGAAGACACAAGTAAGTAGGGCGCGCCCGGGAGCTCGCCGGCTCTCCAAGAAAAACCGTGCCCGGAGGCCGGCGCGTCCCGGCCCCAGCTGCCCCGGCGTGCGGGGCTGTGCCTGCCGGACTAGCCTGGAGGCTGCGGGGGAGGCGGGCGCGGCGCGCGAGCCCCAGCCGCCCGGCCCGGGTGAGCCTGGAGAGGAGGAGTGGAAGGGATAAGAGGGAGAGGGCATCAAGTTTGGAGCCATAGCCCGTAAGTTGGGAGCTGTCAGTCGGGAGCCGGCAATTCTGTAAGACAGAAAGATCTGTTCTTTGGCCGGAGAGTTGAAGTTATTCCGGAAAGGCATGTCCTTGCACGGGAGACATTTTCCCGTGGATTTCGGGAAGATTACACAACAGTTCCCCCACGCGCCACGCTCGATCACTCGCGTACTCAGATTTCTGTATGGCTCCGGGGTGGGTACCGGCCTCGTGCGGACTCCGGTGCAGCCGCGGGAACCGAGCCAACCCCGAGGTCCTTATTCGCCGCGCTCAGCTGGGCGGAGAACCTGTCCCAGCAGCCGGGGAAAAACTTGGCTCCCGCGGCGTCTGCCAGTTTTGCGGCTCCAGGCGAGCTCTAGATAGGGTAATACCTCCACGTTGCACCCACTTTCTTCCATTACAGACGAGGAAAAGTTGTGTATGTGTGCGCGCGTGCGTGTTTTAATGGGCACCTCTGGTGGTAGTTACGGAGGTAATTCCCAGTGCTGCAAATTTTGCATTATGCACAAGAGGCACAGAGGGTAGAACACGGTCCAGGGATACAATTAGTTGGTTTTTTTTTCTTTTTTTTCCTTTCTTTCCTTGTAGCAGATATCTCTGGCTTGTCCTTGATAAAGGGCCAGCGCGGCACTCCCATCCACAGTTCTTTTCGCCGGGTCTCACCTCTTCTTACTTCTCCCCTTAGGAATTTTTCTGTTATCTGCTGCGGGTTGGGTAAGGCTGCCCTCTCACCCCCCAGAGGTTCTGTCGGAGACTGCAATTCTTGAAACGTGTCGAAGGGGTGGAGGTGGCGGGTGAAAAGATTGTACACGTCTTCAGTTTAGAATGTGTTGAAAATGCTTTATTTAATGACACGCTCAGTGTCACATTTTCAATAGACGTCTGGATCTGGAAAGGGTACCAACGCACTCAGAAGGGAGTAGAAAGACCCGAACCCATTACACTGTGTGGAAAAGGGCAGCGGTTTGGGACTTGGCCTGGCAGAAAGGTTTGTGTCGTCTCTGGGGCAGCTGCCCAAGGCGGAGGAGGGGAGCGCAGCGCAGGTTTCTCTCTTGCAAGCAGGTTAGTTTATAGGCAGAGCACCTGGAATCACCGCAGCGGGCTGTTGAAATGCAAATGTGGAAGACTGGCAACAGAAGTTTTAAAGTAATTGCTTGACTTATGCTTTCTGCTGTGTGAAATTAATAAGCATGGGCGGGGAACCAATTCTTTGTTACAGTAGCATCTGCTCACATGAATGGCAGTAGTGAGATCAGGGTGGAGAACCCTGCTACCTTCCAGTTCAGGAAAAGAGCCTAAACCTTCCTATTTAAACACGATCTCTGGAGACAGATCAGGTTAATGACCAACAATCCAAAGGTGGGGGTGGAGGGGGCGTATGGGACCGTACTATCAAGCCAACTTAGACTCTGTAGGATTGATGATCCTTGCACCCTTGCTTGCTTTGCAAAACAAACGGTGAGCTCTGTAATCTCCTTTCTCACTTTGATTAAATAGCTGTGTAAATTGGATTACATGGAATAATTCCATTGAAAGCTAGAAAGAGGCCGAACTAGCCTGAAACTCTTTGGTGGTAGTGAATCAGTACTGCTGACCAGGGACGTTGGAGACAGGGAAGTATTTTAGAAATGTGACCTGCTCAGGCTGAGTAAAAGTGCAAGCCCTTTGGGGGAACTTGCTGATGCAGAAGGGCTGGAGGCAAAGGAGGGCAGTGCCCTAGTGAATGAAGGCATTCATTGCCTGGGATTTAATGACCTTCAAGGTTTCCTTTAAGGATACTTCTAGCAATTCCACATTCTTGCCGCTGAAGAAGGAGACCCTGGAAATAACATGAAATCAATGAAGTAATCAGTGGAAATGGGGGAGGGTGCGTAGGTCCTCATTCATATTGTTAGATTTTCTAATCCAAAAGTTACAAAGAAATTTCCTAGTGCAACTCTGTATGGAGGGAAAGTAGCATAAGGTAATCTGGCATTAAGAGATGAGATCAATTGTTCCAGTCAATCTAATGTTATACTCGAAAGGGTGGAATAGCTATTAATATTCAGTAGTTGAAACAGTCATTTATAAAGATGGAATCAATTCCAAGTTCTGTTATAAAGCAAATAGTTGTGTACCCTTCCATTACCCAAGATATTAAATGAGAAATTAATAATAATATACTTGAATTATGCAGCTCTCCAAGAATCACAGGGACACCAGGCATTCTTGCCTTATAGTCAAGCTAAATAAATGTGGAAATTCCACCAACAACCACTTGGGGTGTGAAAAAACGATTCTTTCATTTATTTAGCACGTGCGATGGACCAGCAGATGGGCAATAATTACACAGCAGGAGTCGTGAGGAGCAATTTGAACGGTTAAGTTTTAATCACAAGTCTACAGAAATGAACGTGTTTTGCATTTTTCAGATTTCTGGATGTATTTTATCCTTATTGTGTGGTTTTACGGTTTCTGAAGGGAATTGTGTCTCTGGCTTAGAACATCTATATTCAGTGTATAATAACAATTGGATATCTTAATTAGCAAGACCAATTAGAAAAGTGCTATCAGTTTAACAGGGCTGATCCATGTTTGTTGATGTACTTACATTTTAGTTTTCAGATGGTTTGTGAGAGTTTTCACAACTGCTGTCGGGTTTAGAAATATGAAGATAGGAAAATTTCATCTGGCAAATGGTGTAGAAAAGACCACATTAGGCACACATTAGTTCTCAGAAGAAGCAAATAGAATGATTATTAGCTTTTGTTTTTCCAAAGAAGATGCCCCCCGCTTTTTTTGTCTGTGTGAAGTTTGTCATCTGGGTTATGATACAAGGTTATAGAAAAATTTAACATTTATGAAAAGAGCATTTTTTAAATCTTGTCCTTAGAAATCACTCCATTTGGAATCTGTGCTTTGAACAATCCTAATTTATGTAGCTTTTAATTGATACATTCTGCCAAAACTTTGAAACTCAAGTGCTAAATCGATTACGTTTAACATAAAACAAGGAAAATAACCATATGTAAATCTGAAGGCCTGAGCCAAACCAATTAAAATTGCCAAGTTTTATTTATATCTAACTGCTGATTTGGAGATAGCAAATTGTGAGCCACATTTATTCTATAATGATAGGTGATTGAAATCTTTCCATCACCATCAATAATGTTAAAAAGAATAAATTCTTCCCCAAGTAGTTAGTCTGAATATGGGAGGCTCTTGCATGGTCTGGCCAGCCCCACTCCATGTGCCCTTCCCCATCCATGTCCAGGGAACACCTAAACATAGTGAAGAGATCTTAAACTTTAGCTTTTCAAGACTGATTCTAATTCCTCTTTTACCACTGGTGAGAAAAAATGACTAGGCATGTGGTTTAACATCTTGGGATTTCCATTTTGTAATCTGTACAATGATTATCAAATAGATATAAAGATTTGTAAGGATTAAATGAGATTTTATGTATCCCAGCACAGTGGCTTGCTGTGGTTACAGTCTAAATTTATTATCCCTAGAAGAAAGTTGCCTCCTGGCTCTCTTAAAAGCCAGAGATAAAACTAGCTTTTGCAGGTAAATGATGCTTAACCGTCAAAGCATAGAGACCAAATTTTCATAATCCGGATCTGTGGATTCAACTTTACAGGCTGATATGTGTCTGTACTCATCAAATCAAGAATGTGTGAAAAGAAAGGCTATCCATGGCATGGGAGGTGCTAAATTCTTAAAAATATTTTCTTTAAAAGTGAAAACGAGAGAGTGAAAATAGAAAAAGGAAATATTATCACTATCTCTTCTTCACTTTCATATTTCTTCACTCTCGCTTTCTGAGTCCCCCTAGTATGAAATCTGAGGATTTATGTTATTTCGTTTTAGACTAAAGGGACTGGGTCAGCTTCTTGCCCTTGATGTTCTTGAACTTGCCCTTCTGAGTGAGGACAAGCATTCATGTCTGCAGGGTTCTTTATTGTCTTTACCAGGCAACATGTGGTGACATTTTTTTTTCCAATTATGCAATTTTGGGAGATTTTTTTTTCCCCCTTGATTACCTTAACATTCCCTTTCGTAAATTAGGGTAAGGCATTTCGATATAAATCTGTCAGAATTGATCTTATATCTTTGTTTTCTAGTACATGAATCATGAGCAGCTGCAGGAGACTGTCTTTTTGGTGTTAGTCACCTGTGTAGTCAGAACAATTTAGAAAACAAATTGAAGGAACACCAGGATGCTTTTCTGATATATGCTGCTTTCAGGATTATTTTGTTTGGACTTTGTCTCATAGAAACCATTGACTGTAGCCTTACTGATTTATAGATGCAGTGAGATGCTTTTGCCTTTTCACTTAATTATGGGCATGCTAAAATTGTTTACTAGGAGTGGGAGAGAATTGTCATTTTCTATCTCTGCCTATTTTCTTCTGTCCAGAAAAATGGGGGTGATGGGGGGAATGCGATTTTCTTATAACTAGGCCTCAGGGACCTTTTTCTAAAATCACGATGTGTGTCAGGAAGGACAGGAAGACTGTCCTTTATATAACTCTTTGTCTTTTGACTGTATTTTCCTATTTTTCTAGGTTGCTGCATTGACTTGGTTATTAGGGGCTGGAGTTCTTTTTTAGCATAGATACTATATGACTTTGGGAAGGCATTTGAATCTCTCTGGACCTCAGTTTCTTCTACTGTAAAATGAAAAAGTAGGATTACGTGATTTCTCAGTGTCTTACACTTCTAAAATTCTCTATTTCTAAGGTTCTGGTAAAATAGATAATTTGAACCAGTTA